ATTCCTTCACTGAAGGAAATCCATTTCCAATACAACAAAATAATTGTCTATATATAATTTTAAGTATATGATGTTTTTTTCTCAAAAGACACTCCATTGCTTTTATCAGAATCTCAGAGAGATCCATGTCTTCCAAAAGATTACAAGACCATTGTCCTAACGTTTTAGTTTGTGGTAAGAAAAATACACTTTATCACCTTATTCCAGGGGTGTAGTTTTTGGCCAGTGCACAGTTACGCAACAGGATGAAAGTTCGAATAGCACACTTATGCAACAGGATGAAAGTTCAAATACGTAAAATCCCACTGAAAGTCCTTCAAGGTGAACTAGGGTCCTATGCATCTGCTGAGAAGCCTAGTAGCTGACCTTTGCATGAATTGATAACCGATTCTGATTTTCTTATAGATTTTCCTGAAAAAGGAGAGAGTTGGGTGTTGAGAATAAACTAGGCAGTAATGGTGATGAGGTTACATCATGGCCTCATTAGGAAATGTTTTTGCTTTCTTTTTTTTTTTTAACTAAAACTATAGATGTTTTCTTTTTCAGTTCATACTATGCCAGATGTTGGAAACAGTGGTAACCAAAGGTAATTCAGAGGTTCATTAAAAAATATTTAAAAGACGAAGACAATTTTAATTACTCATAATTAACATTATTTTCAGAAAAATAGCTAAAAATCTTATAAACTTCCTTCCGGTCTATTTTTGCATGTATAATACTTTTTTTTTTTTTTTTTTTGAGAAGGAGTATTGCTGTCACCGAGGCTGGAGTGCAGTGGCGTGATCTTGGCTCACTGCAACCACTGCCCCCTGGGTTCAAGCGATTCTCCTGCCTCAGCCTCCTGAGTAGCTGGGATTACAGGCACATGACACCCTGTCTTACCATGTTTGCCCAGGCTGGTCTCAAACTCTTGATCTCGTGCTCCACCCGCCTCAGCCTCCCAAAGTGCTGGGATTACAGGCCTGAGCTACCACGCCCAGCCCTGCATGTGTATTTTTTATTAAAAGCAAAACTGGGCCAGGCACGGTGGCTCATGCCTGTAATCTCAGCACTTTGGGAGGCCAATGCGGGCGGATCACCTGAGGTTGGGAGTTCGACACCAGCCTGACCAGCGTATGGAAACCCCGTCTCTACTAAAAATACAAAATTAGCCAGGCGAGGTGGGGCATGCCTGTAATCCCAACTGCTCAGGGGGCTGAGGCAGGAGAATCACATGAACCAAGAAGGCGTAGGTTGCGGTGAGCCGAGATGGCACCATTGCACTCCAGCCTGGGCAACAAGAGTGAAACTCCATCCCCCCCAAAAAAAAAAGTAAAATTGGAATGCTATTAGGTTTAGAATTCTACTTTTCCCAATAATATGGTATGCATTTATCCAAATAAGTCTTCAATAGCAAGATATTTATTTCTTTATTTATTGAGATGCAATCTCACTCCGTTGCCCAGGCGGGAGTGCAGTGGCTTGACATCAGCTCACTGCAACCTCTGCCTCCTAGGTTCAAGTGATTCTTGTGCCTCAGCCTCCCAGGTAGCTGGGACTACAGGTGTGCACCACCATGCCTCACTAATTTTTGTATTTTTAGGAGAGATGGAGTTTCACCATGTTGGCCAGGCTGGTCTCGAACTCCTGACCTCAGGTTATCTGCCCGCCTCAGCCCTCCAAAGTGTGGAATTACAGGCGTGAGCCACCTCGCCAGGACAAATAGCAAGATATTTAAATGGAAGCATTATATTTCATTGTAATTGATTTAACTATTTCCCTCATATTGGATTTTTAGGTAATTTCCATTTTTTCACTACTCAAGACTACATCCTTGCATGAAAATCTTTGCTTGACTCTGTTTCTTTAAATTCCTGAGAAAGGAATTACTGTCATAGAGCATAAACATTGTGAAGGTTTTTGGATCTTTTTTTCCAAATTGCCCTCCAGAAATTTTGTAATTATTTACATTCCTGCCTTCTCATTCCTGCATCAACACTTTAATTTTTCCCAATATTTCAAAATTTTGTTAGAAAAATGAAATCTTACTGTTTTATATTTTATTACCAATAAAGTTGATTCTTTTTTCATATGCTTCTTGCCTGTCTGTAGTTCTTTTGGAACACTTAGTCCATACCATTAGTCTAATTTTTCTATCAGTGTGTTGGATTTCTTCTTTGCCGAGTCTAGTGGCTCAGCCTGTAATCCCCACACTTTGGGAGTCAGAGGCAAGGCAGGAGGATCCCTTGAACCCAGGTGTTCTAGACCAGCGTGGGCAACAGAGTGAGACCCTATCTCAAAACCAACAAACAATTTATCGATGTTGTAAATATTTTTCTTCATATGCCCTTAAACTTTATACATTTTTTTAATTCAATGAGGATTTACACCTTCATACAGGCAGACTGATTTATGTTCTCCTTTGTGGTTTATTCCCTCACTTAATGTTTACAAAGGCCTTCCTTCACCCAAGCTAAGGTAAATATTCAGCATATTTCCTTGCTGTGGTTAAGAGATGTGAGAAGATACTATGAGAGACTCTCAGTATGCTTACAATTTTTTCCAGTTAAATGAAGTCTTCCCACATTTCCTAATCACTCACATTAAGCATATAGAATGGATGAATTTTAAATCTGAATATAAAACTAATTGCACAGCATGTGTCACTGCTCTTTTTATTGCCTATCTCGGGCACAGTCTCTTTGGCCTGAGTGGTCCCTTTAGTTTTTAACCAGTGGCTCCATAATTCCTAAGGAAGAGCTGCTCTCTTTTGTCTCCATGGTGGTCGTAATTTCGCCCACACCTGCCCCCGCTTTGCTCTGCAGCTCCGCACTCCCCCGCCCCGCCGAGAGCCCCTGGCTCCCGATTCCAGGTTACCCCAGGACACCCCAGCCATTTCTGTGCACCAGCGGCCCGCTCACGTACCCAGCTCCAAGAGCTCCTTCACGATGGCCTTTCCGATGCCCGTGGCCCCGCCAGTGACGATGGCCACTTGGCCCTGCAGCAAACCAGGCGCCAGGCAGCTCCTGCCCTTAGCCCAGGAGGCCATCTCTGCAGCGGCGTGCCAGAACAGCTGAGCGGGGGCCCTGCTGGTTCTCAGAGCCATTCGAGGCGGGCGGGAGGGCCGGGCAGGGCTCGAGCCCACGTGACAGCCAGGACCCCGCCCCCTC